TTTTTAAAAAAAAAAAATTGATTTCATGCTTCTTAATCATTATGATATATTCTTCCGGTCCTAAATATAAAACCCCTTTCGTAGTGTAATTTATACTATGAAAAGGGTCTTATATTTAGGACCGGAGGAGTATTATATTAATTTCTAAACATAATATTTTGCTTCTCGGCGGGTGATTCTCTGTATCCATTTTTTTTAATCTATTGATTCAGGAAAGATAAAATAAATACATCAGGTCAACAACTCATTGAACTTCCATAAATCGTATAATAGTTTGTTTTTAGACGTTCTAGTAAAAAAATTTCTCTTAAGACGCGACAAAAATTTTTTGTCCGTAAATGCCGAGTAAGATCCAAGCTATTAGAGTAAAAATAGTCCAATTCTTTGCCACATCAACACATTTTAACAAAATTTTTAACACTGTTAATTCAGATATAACAGTGGTATAACCGGACAAACTAAAAAGACATAATAAAAAAGAAAAGCGCTTAAGAACCTAATTCAAAACTAGAAGAAACTATAACTAATTTTGAATTAGTTTTCGAAAATATATTTCCATATTATTATATTTTAAAGCCAAATGATTTAACTAAAAAAATGCTACTTTCAATACTAATAGGTGCAGCTATATTTTTTTGGTGGATAAAATTTAATTCAAACCAAATTTTATTTTAAAACCAGATACATACACACACATATATATTTGTTGTGGATGAACTGACTACTGTAGTAGCCAACTTTGTTTCAAAATTGTGTGGCAAGTCCAAATAGGAAAAAACTGTGCAGCGAGATTTATTGGCGAGACAAGGGCAAATGGGTAAGTACAGTTTTGTTCCTATTTTCTCTCCATTTATCAGCGAGAGAAAAATGGAGAAAAAATTGAATCAGTCTCACACCTCATTTTTCTCCTAATTTTTTTTTCCTTTTTTCTTCGATCATTCAAACAAAGGAAAATTTACTTCTCCCTTCCTAGTTTTCCTTCCTCCATCATTTTCTCTCCATCCAAACAAGGATTCAATGTTCTCCTTTTAGAATTTTGAAGACTCCATCAACATAAGAAAGTGAAAATTTAACTACACAATTCTCACATTTCCTCTATTTTTTTTTTTTTAGTTTTACACGGCAAGCCAGCGGCTTGAGAGAAAAGAAAAAACTAAAACCTAATACAACTCAGATTTGACTTTAAGAGATGTTCTCCTTGTCCATTCTCAAAAGGTCCCTACACGGCTCTGTTGCCTAAGGTAAACAGATATCCTCTGTGTCCAATGTGTCATTTTTCCTCTAGTTAAATACAAGTTTATTCACGTTAAAAAAACAAGGTTTATATAGAAAAGTAGTGTTAGGACTGAGCAAAAAATTCATAGCCCATTGTACTGGCCCACAGCCATGTGAAATTTTACCCATTTGGGTCGTCCCAAAAAGTATATTAAACGAGCAAATTTAAACTGGCAGGCTAGTAAAATCAACGCCCTTACTCACTCGTATATATTTTTTTTTCATTTTTTAATATGAAAAGTATATTAAAATAAATTATTTTTCACACTCATATAACAGTTATAACCTTGATTTAGTGGCAAAAGTGTTTTGCCTGTGGATTCTTGTGACATGCAACTTCAAAATTTTTTATCAATTTTCATATAACATTTAAATTTGGAAGAAGAAAAAAACCCCCATGCTTCCTCATTTTACCATTGCTGTCTTTTTCCCCTCCAATCCTTTCAACCCATCGCCGCTTTTCTTTTCCTCCTCCACCTACTTCTGTAAAAACCCTCTACCTCAAGACATTTTTAACCCATCATAAAACCTCTACTATGGTAGAAAAGGAGAGCTGTTAAAACGAGCTACCATAGTAGAAGGAAAATTTCATATTTTTAGAAATTGACTTTCAAGCTCGGGTCAACCCATAAGACGTTGCATGCAACTAAAATAATCCATTCATATCCACTGGGCCTCCGAGCCTCCGGCCCGGGTAACACATACATCAAGATCAACCCATCTAAATAGTTTTCAACCATATAATCCAGAGTTCATCAAACACTAGCAATGGCCTCCGGCCAAACAAAATAAGGAGATACATTCTCTCCAGTTTACAACAAGGCCGGGTAATCAAATATATCAAAAAGCAGTCCTAAATGTGGCAATATATACTAGTCATACATATATAAATGCTAGAGGCCTAAAGCTAACCGAGCTCAAGCCTCTGCATCTCTTCCCGATGGCCCACGCCCGGAACCTTCACCTGAAAACATTGTAAACCACGGGGTGAGACAAAGTCCCAGTAACCAACCTTTCCAATACTAGGTACTACTAAATAGGTGCTCGTGAGGTGTCAAGTGGGGCAGTTCACAAATAGTATAATAACGAGATAGCCACAACAAATTATGCAAGTGCAATGATGCAATCCCAACAACCAAATCCCTCACTTTGGGGGATTTTCAGGAGCCGAAGCCGGCCTATCCCTCACTATGGGGGACGTAAGGAGCCATAAAAGGCCTATCCCTCACTTTGGGGGACGTAAGGAGCCAAAAGGCCTATCCCTCACTATGGGGGACGTACTAAGCTAACCATCATGCATTAATGGAGGCCTTACCACGTGGTAGTAACAGACAAAACTCTCACCAATTCCCAGTCAATGCATCATGCTCAAATCATAATCAAAAAGTAATAATCATTTCACAATTAACCTCATTCAGTGGCATATCCTTCACAATTTCAAGATTTCATTCATCATCAATTAAAAACCCCACAAGACGGTTTTCCCTTTTTATATACAACATACAATTCGAACATAATTACTACTTAAAGCACAAAACATAAATCTACTCACAGTACCACAGAAGCAAGTACTAAGGATTGGAAAGTGGTTACCTCTCGCCTAAGCAAGGAACAACAAACCAACGATGTGGCCCCGTGCACCACCAAGACTCACAACCGGTCTACACAAGCACACAAACACACAACCATCATATATTAGCTTTCAAACTAATAATGTGGCCAAAAACAACACTTGGGGACACAAAATTCCTATCTCCCATCAAAACTCTACCCAACTCAAAGGGTATATCTATCAAGGCAACACTCCAAAGTCATACCAATCCATTAACACCTTAATTCCTTTCCAAACATCAATTAAGATTCACAACCTCAAGGACCCATTATGGAATTCTACACCCAAACATCCCATTTGAGCAATTAAGGCTCCAACAACAATTCTAAACCGATTAAACATCCAATTTAACCCTCCTTAACATAACCCAATTCACAAAACCCAAAATCAATCTTTACATTGTCATCCTCAATCCCAAATCATCCAATTCCATAAACCCTAGCTCCAAAAATTCAAGATTCTTTAAATCCAAGGAAACTACACCGATTAAATACTTAAACTAACCCAATGCAATCAATTAAACTCAAAACAATCGGTCAAAAACCTCAATTCCATCACAACTTAGAAAATCCTAGGGTTCCACTAAAAATCCTCAGAAATTCCAAGAAATTCCAATAAAGAAAGAAGATTAGAGGTTAAAATCACTTACTTGAGGTAATGGATCCTTAGAAATGCCCCCTCCAAGCCAAAATACCGAAACCCTAGCAGAGCCTCTCTCTACCTCAGATTTTCTTCTTTTTCGCACGCTGAACTGCTCCCGCGAATATATAGATTCGCGACCTTTCGCCACGGCGAACTCCATCTTCGCCGCGGCGAACTAATCCTGAGAGGGATTACTCGCCTGAAAACTTGACTTCGCCGCAGCGAACCTCAATCTTCGCCGGGGCGAAAGCTTCCCGAGAGGAAACTCTCGCTCGCCCAGAAAACATTCGCCGCGGCATACCCCTACCTTCACCGTGGCGAAACCTTCCCGAAAGGGAAGCCTCGCTCACCTGAACAACTTCGCCGCGGCATCCCTTAGACTTCGCCGCGGCCAAACCTTCCCGAGAAGACACTCCCCTTTGAAACTCCCGGTGCGCCGCGGCGAACATACCCTGAGAGGGGTACGTTCATCTATTCCTCCAACAAACCTCAAATCCAACCCAAACACCAAGATCAAGATTAAATCACTAATCTATCCTCAAAATCAACGCAAAAGAGGCTATTAAAACCCGATAAAACTCAGGATGTTACAACTTCTCTCTTCTTTCTCTCCTCTCTCACATCACCATTACCATCTCTTCCTCCACCGCTACTAAGCCACTCCTAATATTGACCAGGCGGCAGCAATGACGACTAGTCAGCCGCTCTTATGGCTTCACCGCGCACATCAACCTCTCATCATTTCATTATCACCTCTTCTCTCCATGTTTGTGACTTTGCTTCCCTCTGCTCATTGCTCTCCATCATTTCTCTACCTTGCCAGTCTCATACTCACTCAATTCGAATCAATGCAATTGTGCCTATATCTAAGGTGGTTGTGGTTTTTGCTATGACATTTTTTGGTCTTCTTTCATCCTCCTTTATCTTCCTCAATCTATCAGCTGCATTTTGACAAATTGTTATGCCCTGATGAAAGTTGTCTGGTTGATTTGGTTACTTGGTTCCTCATAACCTATTTAACCCCCCTATTTATTCTTAGCCCGTTTACAATGAACTTAAACAGATTCATCACAAGTCCCATGTAATTTTAAACAGGCCGGCTACAAATTAGGGCACAAGCTGCCCAACCTACCTATTGTTCTACCCTAAGCAGCACAGGTTTTGGCCTGGTCATAATTAATCTAGAATAATTTGATTTTAAAAGAATGACATTGATATTGATATTGATTTTCTTTTTCTTTTTGAACTTATAATGTACTCTTTTCCAAAAGCAATTTCAAAAAGCAAAATTGCGTTAAAATTATTTCTGTAAAAAGCTGGATTTGCCCCTATATCACATTACACGTTTAAAGTTCACCGAAGCAAACCAATGATTTGAGGACAAGATAAAGACGGTGTTAGAAAAACAAATTGAGGCTTCTGAAAATTTTTGGGGGGGGGGGGAGTAATTAAAATTCATACTGAAATTTACTTCACATCAGGAAATTTTCACTAGAAAATGTACGATCATAGAAGTTTACCTGCTCCCACCGTGAATATCAAATTTTACAATGAAAAACAGACAAAACCAACATGGCTGTTCTAGCTTCTTATCGGGGCCCAAGGGAATAATAGTTTGAAACTCTAAGTGCTTCAAGTGAATCTTCTGATCATATGTCCATTGAATTCCATTTCAATTAAAAACAGATACAAAAAACACCATTTGAACTATGCATAACCAGAACAACAGGGTCGCACCACAGCATGAACAGGGCAACAAAAAATGACAAACCAATAGGTTGAAACCATGAGGCAGCTTCCTCTGAATTCAACCCCAGTGTGAAACCATCGGTTATAAGCATTTTCCTAGAAAATCGCATACCCAGCAACCATAACATTAAAGGCATGCATAAGCAACTTCAAAATCGTTGTTCCAGCCCTTTAGCGTGATAGCCATGTGGAAACTACCAACAAAGGAAGCATTAAAAGAAGGGAGTGGCACACAAATGCATCAACGTTTTCAGGTGTGGTCGCTTTGCTGAGAATAGAATTCCAGAGTTGTCCAAAGCTATGCCGTGAATTTTCCTGCACAGAAAATCCATTCTCTTGAAAAATGCTACGCATGAAATAATGTGCCAATCCTAATGGCGCATATGATAGTCACCTTAGTGCTTAAGTTACTACTAACTTGATCCTTGTTATTCATGTTTCTCAAAATTCTTCTGTCGCTCCCAGAGATTGGTTGATCTGTGCAAATTTTAATTTTGGCTTCTCCAACGTCTATACTCCGGTGGGAACTGTATGCTGAATCAGTATGTAATGTTTCCATTACAGAACCAAAGAAGTTGGTCACAGGTACCTAACAAGGAGAAACAAAATCATCCTTATAGAATTCTTCCCAATTAGACCTGATTAATGCTCATTTTCACCACATCAACGCAATAACTGGTACATAGAAGCATAAACACAAAAACTTTATTGGCATGCAGATTTCTGTCACGTATAGTATTTTCTCGTCTATCTTGTTAAGAGATCTGTCTTGTAACCAGAACGCATATCCTACGGAAGTATACAAGATTCTCATTGCTTTATTATTCTTTCAGGAAAATAGCTTATAAGACGATTTCAACAACTCCCTGAGTAGAGATAAATTAAAGAAATAAAATGTGTTAGGTGGAAACTATACACAGAATTTTCACAGCCAACATTATTTGATGTTTTGCAGCCCATGATGCACCATGAGATGTAAAATAATGTCAGGTAGCAGCAATTTGCAGAGTAAACATCTGTTACTTATGTAGGTAATCCCTCAACAAATAATGTTACTCAAAATTCCTCAACATAAAAAATATTTCAATATATTTATTGAAAAAAAAGTTCAGCTGCATTAAATTAAGAACAAAAATTATTACCTCCTCCAAACTACGTTGATATAGGTCCATTCTATGATATGCGGTTGACATCAACAAATTTGGATTAAATGAATTGAAAAGGCTGCAAAATAAACACAAAATATGCCCGAATTAGCAATATAACTACCAAAAGAATATGACGCTGGAATGCTCTACCTACTGCAACACAATTCTCTTGATATGCTCCTAAGCAACCCATACCAATTATCTGTACTAACATAATAGAGAAGGGGAGAGGCGGATTCACCAAGATCACAAAATGAGAGTCGATCACCTTAATTAAACTTTTGTTTTCATTTGCACAGCCATAGAATTATAAACCATGAAAACAGAATTCAACTTTCCTGGAAAATCCATTTGGACATGTAAAGCCCCACTAAAAATCAAATATTTGATTTGGACAACAGTAATCAATAGAACTAAATATCATGTCACAAATTGGAAGACCCAACTCAGTTTCATCTTCCAGTATTTGGAAGTTTGGATGATCCATGTAGCATAGAAATTGAAACTCATTGTTTTCCATATTGGTTTGATGGAAAAATCAAAATGATCCTCATCTATGTTGATCTCTCAACAGATTTCTTTCATCAAAATTACAAGATCATTCAAGACCGGAAAGTTAAACAGAGGCTACAGAAACACTTCATAACAAGGAAAAGAAGTCATGTATTCGCACTCCCAAAAAACACTTATGGTCTACCTGCTCAAGGAGGCATTATCATACATATTTAGCTTCTCAAAGAAGGCTAGAGTATAATATGTAAAGCGATCCACAACAGAAACACCAACCTGTATTAAATAAAACAGAAGTGAATTTTAGTTGTCCGGATCATAGACCAAATTCAAGAATAAAATGTTCACAGTTACGAACCATGTCAATAACATTGCAAGGATCAACGTTATTAAAAGTAGCCATATTCTAGCCATCATAGAACAAAATCCTCAACCAAGTAACTTCTATCCTTTTACCTTCCTCTAGACTCTTCTCTCCCACATATTGTTATCAGAACTGCCAAGTGAAGAGAAATTTGCCAACTGCTCAAGACCTCGAGTTTTTGCCATTGCCTACCGTTTGTTTGGTCTTATGATTGCCATTGTTTCTTGACTGCTAGCACAATGATCTTCTCTTTTTCTTTTTCTTTTTTGTACACTCATTCACACCCTCTGTAGTCCGTTCAGTTTATTAGCTTTGCTAGATACTTACTCAGATGTTTTCTTAGCTCTTGCTAATAACATCAGAACATTTAAGTTTTGTTTTCCCACTTACGTCAACTGGTGCTTAGGTTGAATGTTGCTGTACATTTATACAATAAAGGACGAATTCATCTCAGAAGTTTATGATATGGTCATTAATCTGTTTAAAACTTTCTAAATGAATGTTTTCCAGATTTAAATTTTCCTTGCATTTAAGTGAAGACTCGTAATATTTTATTATAATTTCTAACACACCTTACATGGAAGCATATTATGAGATTTAAGAGTAAAACAAGAACAAGCTCCTTGTGACTAGAACTAAAAATTTCAATCAAGAAAATGTATAACAGAAAAGATCAAATTCAGATCATGTGTTCATCGTGACTTGGATACCATTTCAAGTACCAATTCAACTCAGAAATCGGAGTTAAGGCCCATGAGTGATTTTAATATACTTAGTAAAGTAATGACACTGCTTGAAAATTGTGTGATCATGATTTTTTAAAAAATTCTTTTAATACAATTCCTCAAATTATTTATTATTGGGGAGGATGCCACAGCAGTTTTGATGCCTATGTCTAGAATCTAAATGCCATTAACAACAGGAATGACTGCAGCAGATGGTTAATACTAGAAAATGGATACATACATCTGGGTCTAAGTGATGTGAATATGAATTCTCTCCTTTCATGCTGCTTCCCATAGCCAAAACACCTGGGGAATGAAGCTGTAAGGTTCAGAAAATGAACCAAGTCAACCTAGGGAAAAAAATTAGCAGAATAAATAAATGACAACTTTTTCTCAACGTGACAGAGAAAAGAATTAGAGGATTTCAGGCTTTGACATATCTATGCGGCATATTTGCCTTTTACCACCAGGACATTTAAATACATGCAAAGGATGTGTACCAAGCTAGCCCAGGACAATAGTAAACAGAGAGTTGAAACTTAAAAGTAAAAGCAAATAGAAATTTACTAGGTACAGCCATGTCCTTTGTTCTTCACAACATGACAGTCAAAATGGATCAAAATACGCTATAAGTAAGCCAGCACATCACATTTGGCTAGTTAGCAGGCAAAGGTTTGTGAGATGACAAAGACCTATAACTATCTAGTGTAGAATGCTTGTAAAATTCCACCCATCAACTTTCGTAATTTTGTCTCAGGAACTCTAAATAATTGAATTAAAGTAACTACACAAGCAATAAGCTAATATTTGAGAAGGAAGGTCATGTGCGCACATGCAGGCAGGGTTAATATGGGTAGTACATGTGTTAAGAGAACTCGGCATAGAAATAAATACACCAATCAAGATGTGGTGTGATAATATGGCTGCACTCAAGATTGCAAACAATGCTGTCCAACATGACCGAACAAAATGTTGAAATTGACAGCCATTTCATCAAGGAAAAGATTGAAGCTAAAGTCATCGATCTAACCTAAATTCCCTTTGGAAGACAGATTGCGGATGTAATGACCAAACCACTGGTCAAGAACAAGTTTGACAAGTCGACTAGCAAGCCGGGAATAATTAACATCTATTCCCCAGCTTGAGGGAGAGTGTTGGAAATGGGCCATAGGGGGAGGCCCATTCACTCTTTAACCTAGAATCAAACACAGCTATGTACTCTGATTTTCTACCCGTTAGACACATGGTTCTTAGGCACTAATTTAGGGATTACAGAATATATTTCTTTCTTTTTTTTACTTCCTCATTAATTCTGGAGGATTTCATGTGATATGCTAAATCACTCTTCTGCCTATATGTATCATTCAATCCTATGGAATAAAACACAGCTTTCTGTATACAAACTTCCACTTGCAACTAAGCTTTTTGGGGACAACATAAGGGCTGTCACATACAACCAAAAGGAATGCTCCTAGGCTGGTCACGCATGGCTAAGCAATGAGTTTTGCAAGTCAAGAACCTGCAAGAGTGTGAAACTCACGTTTGGCGTTGATGGGTCTCATGTTCAATGCTTCAATACAAGGTTGCTGGTACAAAATTGGTTCATGGATTATTTAAAATGCTTCTTGGCTCTAGTTTAGTACCATTTTCTATGTACTTGCCCTTGGGGACAAAGATCTCTTGTAGAGAAGATAATGATAAGTTTAGGTAAGATTTTATTAGATTCATTAATTATAAGAATTTACTTGGATTTTAAATAAATTTAGATAGAATATGGATATTATCATATTAGGAGGATTTAGATAGGATTTAATTATATCAGTAATAGTAATGTTTGGATTAGATATTTAATTGAGATTAGAATTACCCATGACTTATAAATAGGGTAATCATCAATCTTATTCTCATATGCTTTGACCTTTTGAATTATACAGTATAATTCTAGTTTCTCTTTGTATTCACTCTGTTTTTCTCTCTTTCACCTTTCTTTCTACAATCACCCTATCACAATCAAATTAACAAATACTGAGTTTAAGCTTCCTAATATCCAAAGTTCTTTTACCAATGATTACAAATCCCATTGGAATAGACAAAGGCACCTATCGTAAAAACACAAGGCATGCAGTAATCTTATGTAAAAACAATCTAACAAGGCAACATCATGCAATTAATACTTCGATTGACTGATTGCCAACATCTCCTTTTAATTAAAGAATGAATAAGCTTCATATAATATTCTAAAAATCCATCTAATGAGAATTCATGTTTGATTTTTCTAAAAATCATATTCTGGAAAGCATTTTGAGACCTGTGAGAAGAGAGTTGAAGCTTGGCAAGTGTCCACCATTATCAATAGCTCCTTAAACCTAAGAGACAACATACCAGCAAAAAGATGAGTTTTTTGCCCTATATAAAGAGGTCACAAGATGTCAATAACTACCAAATATGAAGTTAATCACAAAATATAGATTAAATCTTCATAGTTAGAAAAATGGTCTATTTCATAAAACATTTGCCAAGCAAAAACTTCATACAAAAAACTAAGCATTACTTTAGCATATGAAAACAGCCATACAAGAAAGCATGCAAATACAGCCCTTGATCCAAAACTTTATCAAATATCAAGTTCACAAATCAAACTTAAAAGTCACAACATTAATTTGCATAAGATTTCTGATAAGACTCCAAATCAGCACATTAACATACCAGAGAAGAAATAAGGAGAATGGAGTAGTGGTTGAGTCAGTTTTTTCATCTTTGAAGGACAGCTGAATGAGTCTCATAAGTTTTATTTGTTTTATTAATGATTTATCAGCTGAGTAAGTGAACTTTAGGTTGTTAGGTCCACCGTCTCTTTCTGTTAGCTTAGCTCCAAGATACTAGGGATATTTACTTATTTTTCATTCTCATTTAATCATATTTTCTGCATTATAAATGTGTTGGCAGATTTTATGGCCAACATACCAGAGAAATAAAGTACTATTTGAATTAAGTGGAAATTCTCCATTGATTCGGCTATTGAGGGTGTGTAGATTGAGACTCTTACTTTACTCATTCTTAATAGAATTTATCCCTGGTTATTGAGATTTATCAGGTGAGATTCTGATAGGATCGACCTATTTAAAAATACCTATAAGAGGCGACAGAGGCAGAAGCAAGCAAAAGGCAACAGTCCTTTCTAAGCAACCAGGGAGTTGACTTCTAATTCCTACCTTTTTGGAGAAAGTAGCACACTCTAATGTCTTTAGGTCTGTGTACTAGGTTGTTGTATTTTGGAGACTGTGCTGTTTACTTTTAAGTATTTTAGCCGTTGTAGCTTGGGGGAGGGAAGACGTTTTTTTGGCATGAGAGCATGGTGAGGAGAGAGCTGACCTCTCGAATGTCAGGACCATTGTATGGGCTGTGAGTGTGTGAACCATTTTGTAACTTCCTATCTCCCACTGAGTAGGAAGATTGCTATTGATTAATCCTATTCGAGTATTATTTCACTATCAGGAGCCCATTCACTGTTTCATTATCTGATTTATTACTGTTCCTACTGTCAGTTCCTATCAGATTCTCACTTGAAAGATCCAGAAGAGATTCACTGTAATTATTCCCTCTTCATCTTAGAAAATCAAATCAGGATGCTAACAACTTCATACCTACGCTTCTCTTTCATTTGCTTCACAGCATCAGCTAAATCATGACTCTGGAGCTCTTCAGAGTCCTGAAATTTCAAAAATTCATCACCTCCATGCCCAGTCATATACAAAAGTACATGACTCCCTTCTTCACTTAGAAGACGCTTAGACCTTGGAACAGCAGCCTCATGACGACCCGTCAAAACTCGTAAAAAGTTTTCCACTGTCACTTCATAGCCACGATAATCTACCTGCAAGTTAAGAAGCAAAATGTTCATCCTCTAAAAGACATTGCGTATAGCCCCAAAACAGGTTGAAAGCGATGAATATCTCTATAGCATCATATCAGATGGAAGTCTACATATACACAAGTGTTCAACTGAAAAAAGTGAGAGAATGTGACTAGACAAAGAGGTTTATTGGGTTACCACAGCACGTCTTCTATTAAGAGGGTGCCTGGTAACCCCAGAAAGCAAAAATGTTTTCACACAAATCGAAACAAAACTCCCCTTACATATTTACTTAGTATACCGTAAAATCAATTTTAAAATCATGATTTAGTTTCCATCCAAATATCCCTAAGTCTCTTTTAAGAAATTATAAGATTTAATATTGATATCAGCTTAAAGCCAATCAGAGAGAGATGGAAAATTTACATATCAGAGAAATGTGTTATGGCTAACAGACTTCAGTAGCAAGAGTACCTAAAGTCAACCAAGGTATTTGATGTGTAAATATAATAGAAAGGAGGAAGTTAGTTAGCATTAGTTACCAAGTCCTTAGGCCTATAAATAAGGGGCCTGGGTAATCAGACTGGCGAATGGCCAAAGTGAATAGAATAAGTTCTCCCTCCTCTCTCTCTCTCTCTCTCTCATTTTTCTTCCCAGACTTCTTCTTCCCCTCTCTCCTCTAATTTCTCTACAAACAAACAAACAACAAGCCTTATCCCACTAGGTGGGGTCGGCTACATGAATCACACGACGCCATCATGCTCTGTCAACAACCCAATCCTTAGATATGTTGTTGATTAGGAGGTCTCGTTCAATGACCTCATTCAGCGTTCTTCTCGGTCTTCCCCTGCCTCTTTTTATAGGACTCCATCTTGTTTGATCCACCCTCCTCACCGGGGCCTCCAAAGGCCTTCTCTGACATGTCCAAACCATCTTAAGCGATTTTCAACCATTTTCTCTTGGATAGGTGCCACACTGACTCTTGTCCTGATCTTTTCATTTCGAATCCTATCTTTTCTTGTATGACCACACATCCATCTTAACATCCTCATTTCTGCTACTCCGACTTTGTGCTCTTGTTTTCCCTTTATTGCCCAACATTCACTACCATACATCATAGCTGGTCTTATAGCAGTCCGATAAAATTTTCCTTTAAGTTTCTCAGGTACCTTCTTATCACAAATAACTCCGGTAGCTTTCCTCCACTTTAACCAGCCAACTTGTATTCTATGAGAAATGTCTCCATCAATTTCCCCATCCTCCTGTATAATAGATCCTAGGTATTTAAACTTTGATACTTGAGGAATAATTTGCTCTCCCATCCTCACCTCCAAATCCCTATTACCTTGCCTCCCTCCAAAATCACAATGCATATATTCTGTTTTGTTCCTGCTCAAACGGAAACCTTTCGACTCCAAAGTCCTTCTCCATAACTCCAAACTAGTGTTAATCTCTTCTTTTGATTCCGCCATAAGAACTATATCATCCGCGAAGAGCATGGACTTAGGGATTCTTTCTTGAACAGGTTTAGTTACAACATCCAGAACAATGTTGAACAAGTACGGACTCAGAGAGGATCCCTGATGTAGGCCAATCTTAATAGGAAAGTCCTTTGTCTCCCCCCCAGGCGTCCTTACACTGGTAGTTACCGCCTCATACATATCTTGTATGACTTTGATATACGCAACCCGTACACCTTTCTTTTCCAAAGCCTTCCACAATACTTCTCTTGGCACACGATCATAAGCCTTTTCCAGGTCAATAAAAACCATATGTAAATCTCTTCTTTTACTTCTATATCTCTCCATTAACCCCCTTAGTAAATAGATTGCTTCCGATGTGGATCTCCCTGGCATAAATCCAAATTGGTTTTCCGAAATAGAAGTCTCCAACCTCAATCTATTTATGCAAGATTCAGGGCAGAATGGCAAACTCAGCTATATACCAGACACAAGCTTGAATCATCAAACAAAAGAAGCCTCCCAGTAATATTAATACTCACAGCAAAATTATTTATTAATTGATTGCATAGTGAAAGGAAGCACATAAGTAGACTTAAAATATTATTACGTGTTTCCCCTTTTTGTGCCCAAATTAGTAAGCAAAGCTTCAAATTTCTCATGTAGTTTCTACGAACATAGCTAGTGAATCAAAGAAAAGAGTAGCCTCTGCTTAAGCTATGTATTAGTAGGATTAATACTAAAAAGTAGTGAGATGCATAGGCCACAAAAGGCCTTGACCTCGGATGTTTGCATTACGAGCAACAAGAGCTCAGAATTTCTCAATAACCTCTTTCTAGACAGCGAGAAGGCTACACATTAGAAGGAAAAGTTGTTTGGGATGGTTATGAGCATTGAATTTCCTTCACTACTTTCTTTGCTGTTAGATTAGTTCCTTCTCCTTAATCTTTGTACTCTTCTATCTCATTATATTGTTCTTCTGTGCATATGCGTTCATATCTCTACATATATGTGGATATATATTCCTACTTTTCATTACTTATATGCGGAAGTTTAAAATCCACAACCAAAACTGGCTCACGAGTTTATGGTTTGTTAATATAATTTAGACTCATATCAAGACAATTCGAAAGCCAACACAAAGAATATTATCTAGTGAACAAGGAAAATGAAAGGCAAAAAGAAAACTCACCTCCACATTGTCCCCATACAAATTAAGCTTATGATTTTCATTATTGAAAACCTGGGCAGGGTATTTGTTTCTAGCATTACATGCCATGTCATCTGCCAGCATGAGTATTATCCTCTCGTCAGGAATTCCTAACCGCTTAACTGTCCTGATTAACAAGGAAATTATAATGACAACAGGTAATTACAAAGTATAATTGGAGCAAATAAAGTTAAATTGGATATTACCTATATAAGGAAAGTGTATTGGCCATGTGTCGATAATTAAACCTAAATAAGGGAAGCAACGAATTAAATATGTTAACCAAGTCATGAAACTAAGACTTTGTGATAGCTATAAAACGTCTTTTATAAGACTTAGTAACATGTTTAGACAGCATTGCTGATGCTTAATCTTTTTTTTTTTTGGGGCCAAATTGTTGATACTTAGTCTAAAAAGCAATTTCAAGGATGCACACACTAGACCAATAAATTTTGCTCTAAATCAAAATACAGGTGGCTGAAAACGTTTATGTCCTCAGGAATAAAAAGGAAGTCGGTATTAAAGCTCACTAGACATGTTGTAGAGATGAGATACAGCCAAAAAGGGATGGTGCGTTCTAACACGTGATTGCTTTTTTAGTGATAATGATAGTAAACTGGATTCAAACAATATTTAAATTAATTTAATAATTAATTTATGTTATAGTAAGCTGTTAGTTGAAATAAAATCGAATGAACAAAACAATCATGAATGACAACATAAATGATTGAGTTGGAGTAAATGAGTTGGAAAACAATGTCCGAAACCAGGTCAGTTCGAGTAAGCATCATATTTTCATGTTGCCAAAGGTGGTATAAACAATCCAAAGGAACCACGAAAAGAAAACACTGGTATGATTCTTTAAGAGGGTTTCATTACTCACAAAAAGAGGATATAGCTATAATTTTGTTATGTTATAAATTAAAAATGGAAGCTGCACTTACCAGAATCGTGATGTGCAGACTAAAACAGCCCAATTATTTGTATGCAATGTGGATTCAGATGAAGATGACAAATGCGCCACAGAGTTGCCGATGTTTCCAAGACATAACAGTAATAACATTAGCACTCCAATAGGTAACCTTAGCAAACTTAAGATCAGGAACCTCATGCTTCTATATAACGATTCTCACACCTAGTGTGTCAAATCTATTGTTCTTCAAAAAGTAGATATATTACTCAGGTACCTCTTTTCTTCAGATATCAAAGAAACGTTTCAGTAACTGCCAAAAAAAAAAAAAAAGGAGCGATCAAACAGGGAATATTGAATTGCAAGACTAGCTAGAATCAAGAGAGAAATAATTGAATACTCCATAACAAAATCATAGCCTCAAAACCTGTTATTGTGCAAGAGTTTACAGACTTGCTAGCATTCATATCAGCAAACAGATGCTATTTACAATCCTTCAGTCAAACTACGAATGACATAATTCCCCCAGGGGATCCATAAAAAACCAATATGGAGAAGTATTGAGGGGGATTTATAGAAACTAACCAGGAAGCTTTGAATGGGGACCCAGTTCCACAAATGCTTTCACAGCAAGCGGCAGATATCATTTGAAAGAAAAATGCAGACCGGATATGGCAAGCTAGAAGTTGGTGATGGAGATTAGAGGGCAACAAGATTCAGATCTGACGACGATCTTATCCAGCCAGATCTGATGATTTCTTCCCAATTTCTGCCAGATCTTCTTCCCTCAATTACATAAAAACTAAGTTCACAATTTTCTCTCCATTTCTAAAACAAAAAAATGTTCTTTTCGTGGAAAGCATTCCACCAAAATAAAACAAAGCATGCGCATTTGATTTGCAGACAAAATAAAAATTAAAAGATATGGCATATGACAAGCCAGAAAGAATGAACATTAATCAGTTCCAGACATTCCCATGTCTAGAATCTTTAGAAAAGGGAGGGAAAACAAAATAGATTACTCAGAAAACAAGAAAAAAATCACCATGATCACAGAGAATGGTAATCAACTTATTCACTGGCTTAGCAAAATGCATTTTATATGAAAATTCAAATAGATAAAACCAAGATCATTGGAAAAATTAACCAGCACCGTGAGATTGCTCGGCTTTGTGCTCAGGCTATGGTTCCTGGTCTTTTTAATAGCATTAAGGTCTTTTAATTAAAAGAAAATACTTTAATTAAAAATTGTGTCTCATTTACAAGACATATCAATCACACTTTTAAACACCACCCATACATATAACTTTTAAATTTCTCCTCTTCGTTTGTCTTTGTAGTTTCCCACTCCATTTGTTCTTGCTTCATTTTGATCTGCTAGTACACCTAAACAATTGAAATTCTAAACATCTCTTACTTGAAAAAATCGGTTTGAAGGGTAGCAGATAGTGTAATGGGCGACGAAGATCTGGGAATCTTAGCGGACCCAATTAGATCATTTGAATGTTTGAAGTCCTGGGCTGCTGTTCCTATCTCAGCTACAGTTGCTAGGGTCTTTGATTACTGTATTTTGCAATATTATTTGTTTGAATGTGGCTAGGATTATATTATATAACAGGTTATAATTATTATATTTAATGTTATAATAGTTCTTCGATTCCTATCTTAGCCACTTGATTTATTATTAATAAATTTCAATGTATGGACTCTCTGAGACAATTTTATCTTGTTTTTAGTATGAAGTTATATGTATGGGTGGTGTTTTAAGGTCAGATTACACTTGTGGCATATATAGCATTCAAGTTGAAGAACAAGAAATGGAACTATGACATAAATCTGGTGACTTGGGTAGCTGGTTTGCCCTTTGAAGAAGTTGTCTAAAATAAGCAATGCTCATATAGATTCAATACTAGATGTTTCTAACTTTATTTGACTCATTTATAAGTTTTTCTGTTCTGTTCTTAAAGATGGGTACATTATTTAGTTGCTGTTGTATGGATTAGGTTGGATTTGTTGTCCATGTAATGTGTCAATGGTTTTACATCTCTCACTAGGGGATTGTTAGTTGCTGATTTAGGTCTCATATGGTATCTAGAAGTAATAGAAACATATTGCACAAGTACAACTTTGTTTTTCACATCTATAAGTGTTTCCTCAATCAAGTTTAAGCGTCATAACATTGTCAATGAAAAATGAAAGGACGTGCTCAAGAGAAGATCCTACCATGCTTTCAATCTTCTACATAAATTTAGAACCAACTTAAAATCAGATTACTTAGGCCAAGTATTTTATTCATAAGTTAATATGCCAAAATGGCCCCCACACTAGCAGATTACTAAGACCACAAAACTATGGGTTTTCCTTTTAAATAATAACTATGGACTAAAAATTCAGAGAAGTAGCCTCACACATTATTAAACTTTTTATCACAGTAATAAATAACTCGTTCACTGAAACACACCACTTTCGATTAGCATCAGAAAAATAACAACAATCATAACATGGGGCAGTGGATCAATTCCTACCTCCAAATATTTTATAGTGCAGTGATGAATAAATCCAGATGAGCAATTGTAAAATCTATAAGTAACAAATTCTCTTGCCAAAAAAAAGGTAACAAATTCTCTTGCCAGAAAATCGGTAACAAATTCGCTCTCAGTCACTATCTTATTCTCTTTACTGTTCTCATTCCAGTAACACACGACACTTAATCCTGGTTCATCCTCAATCACCCAAGAAACTATCACTGCCTTCCCCATATAATCACCTTGTGTTATATGAACCTTAACCAAGGAAATCCATACATCCATAAAAATGGCGAGGAATGAGGCCAAAGGCTAGAGAACTGAATTTTAAATCATTTTACACAGATTTTACGGAACTTGTTGAGGAGCATTATAACCAGGTAGGATTGCGAATACATCGTTATCAAGTGGCATATATATCCACAGTATTCACAATCTCTCTCATTAATGAACTGGTTCTGCTACCATAACAAAGCACAGCTACACTCGAAAAAAAAACCGGAACCACAAAACAAGGGAATCTCTGAAGACCCATCTTCTCAAACTGCACATTAATCTCCCATGGTGACTCTAACGTCTCACTAATGATTGACTTAGAACCCCATTATATTAATCTCTGCGTAGCGTGTTTGAACACAATATAATGCGAATTTGTTGTTGAATAAATCGGGGAATATTCAAAATCCTCTACCGCATTACAATGCAAAGATTACCTCTTGGGCTGGCATTTTTCTTGCAGTAGAAAATGGCTCTTGTTCCAGCTCTCACTGTTGAAGGTTGAAGAAGAAGAATAAGCCTCTCTTTCCTCTCAGATCTGGTCGAGTCGTCTCGTTCTGTCAATGGCGTTCTGTCGCTCTCACCCACGATGATGATAAAGACGATGAGGTCAGGAAATTTAGGAGGACTTTGAAATACAGAAGCGAATTGGGAAGAGGGAGAAAGGGAGAGGGATCCACCAGGAGAGATGGCCGTTGCGGTTACACGAGAGAAAATTAGGAAGGAAAGAAAACTAAAGAGGAAAATATGCAAGGAAAAAAAAAACTAGACCAGACCGGTTAGTTCGACCGGAAAACCGGTGAACCAATGGTTAGTCCGGTCTGGGAGGCCAAAAAAACCGGTCTACAATTGAACCGTTTTGAGAACGGTTCAACTGGTAATAACCGGATCGTTTGATGGGTTGCCTGGTTTTAAATATTTTATTTTTTTATCCTTCAATCCATGGAAAACGAAGTCGTTTGGCATTGGAAAATTAAAAAAAAAAAAAGACAGTCCGGTCCAAATTGAATGAGCTCGGCCCCTGCTTCAATTCGAGAAAAGTCTTTGCCTTTCACTTCTCGCCGTTGCCACCCTCCCCCAAATCGAAAATCCCTAGCTGAATCAACCTCATTATGCCGAAGTTTTCTTCGCCATCGGAGGTCCCGGATCTTCGCGTCACGTCGTCGAGGTCGAACGTTGAAGCAGCCGGTGATCGTGGTTCAAGCGCAAATCTACATCACAGCCGCAAGTGGTCGCCTCCCATCGTCGTTACTTCTTCATAGTGGCAGAATCATTGTCAGAGCTGTAGGTGGTTGCTTTTGTGCTCTTGCCTCTTGTCTTATTAGTAATTTTCATTCAGTTAGGCTTAGATAGTTAAATCATAAATGTGCTTTGCTCTTACGGTTTTTTGGTTCACTGGTCATGCTTTGTGCGTTCTTCTTCTATTTTTTTATTCATCTGAATTCTCAAGTTCAACACTAATAACTTGTAAAGTAGCTAGGCTTAGATAAAATGAAATTTATTTCCTTTTTCTAATGTAGAACAATATTGTGTATAATATAGATGTAAGATCCAGGAAAAAGTTAAAAACAGTTATATCGATTGATTTCAATGATTTGTTTACTTGGAACATCATTTAACAATGAAGGTACTGCAAATTCAACAACTTTTGAGAGGAATAATGAAAGTTTATATATATAATTAAGATTCTATTAGTATTCTTAAATAAATATATAATTATTTGCATAATCATTATTATTGATTATTGTCTTATATAGGTGATAAAAATATGGATATTGGTGATCCTCCACCTTTGCACGATGATATTGTTACTCCTATTTTTCCTCGCCCAACTGATGATATCTCAATTCATGCTCTTACCAATGATCTTAATGATAATTTTGATTTTGCATAGTGATGAAGATGTGAATTTTATTAATATTTTCTTAGTACAATTAAACATTTAAACTACTTTTGTAACTTCCAATCTTTTTTTGAGTGATTATTATTTATAAATTCGGTTCTATTTTAATATTGTGAATTAAATTATATTATTTTAATATGATTGGTCCAATCCCGGTCTGACCTCCGGTTCGACCGGTGACCCTTGACCTACTGCCTCGACCGGTTTAGCTTCCGGTCCGGTTTTTTGTTTCTTGAAAATATGGGAAGAAATAAGTTTTTTCTTGTTTAGATAGTGGAGAAAATATAGGAGGAAGAAAAAGCGAAAGAAAAAATAAAGTGGGTCTCATATCTTTTTTTTTTAATTTTCTCTTTATATATGGAGAGATTTGGGAAGGAAAACAAGATTTTCATGATTTGTCCCTCTCTTATCTTCCTCTCCATATTTATTTTCTTTTATTATATTTAAAAGTTATTTAGTTTTTATTTTTTATCTTAAAACAATGTTTTTAAAACATAATAATCTGAAAAAATATATAAATCAAATAACTTGATTTTAAATTATTTGATAATGCTAATATTAGTATGATTTTTCTATTGTAATATTTAATTTAATTTAATTTAATTTTAAATATGATATATTTTGATAAGAACATTTTAGTCATTTAGATGTTTGCTAAATTTTCCTCCTCTCTATTTTTTCTCACTTATCCAAACAAGAAGGATGATGACAACTTCCCTCCAATTTTTCCTTCTCTCTATTTTCTCTCTTCTCGTTTTCTTTTCTCTCTACTTTTCTTCCCATCCAAATCGTATCATAATCTTTTTCCACCATGTCCCTCAGAATCCCAAAATCCTGTCCATGCATATGATCCAAAACCTCACACTACGCCACATCATGAAACTCTTAAAAATGAATAAGGTTGAAGTACACCCTAATAGCAGCGTCTTCAACCTTCTGCTCTCCTCGCCGCTTTCGACTCCCAAGTCCCAACCACTAAGAATACATTTGAATTAGCGTTGGACAAAACTAACTTCAGTCTAACTAATTTTTGTAACTAAAATTAGAATAAAAAATCAGTCAGTGTAATGCTATTTATGTTTGGATAGGTGCTTATATAAAGTTAGTTGAAAAAGTTAAAAGTTGTTTGGATGATTAATAAAAAAATAAGTTTAGATATAAAATAACTGAAAAAGACATGAACTTTATTGAACATTAATGTTTATATTATATGATATTAGTATGATAATTGTTAAAAAAATAATTAAAATTATAATTGTATAATAAAAATATCTGTTGGTGAGAAAATTTTGAACATACATAGAATATAATTAAATACATATAATTAATTTGAGAATATTAGGAAATTTAAATAAATTATTTTGACATATTTATATTTATTTTTCTTCAAATTAATTTGCTTGACTTATAAACTAATATGTAGTCTAATAATACACATAAGTATTTTAGAGAAATCATGTAACATAAAATATAAATAAATAATTTATTCAGCTTTTTTAATTTTTTAAATTAATCTATTGAATCTTGTATAAAAGCATTCTCTCTCTGAGGCAAAAGAGTAAAAACATTTTGTCATTCACCTATGTGGACCCCATCAGTTGCGTTGTGGAAGGCAAAAGTTACTTTTTGGAGCGTTGGAAAAAAAGTCAATTTATGGCATAAGTTCATTTGCACTCAACAACAATCCAAATATGTGTTTACTTCAAAAAAGCTTCAAACCACCATTTCACATGTTCCTAAGCACTTTTCCTCCTCCAAACGGTGATCCAAACATACCTTAAGACGTCACCTTAATGGATTCGTTTGGATTTTAATCTGATTTTAAAAAAATGAGATTAAATAAAAATTAGATTAGGTAATCTAATTAATTTTTATAAAAATTAGTTTGTAAAGTAAAGAAATTATTTGGATTATAGTTGGATAAATAAGTTTAGTTTATAGAATGATTAAAGTATAACTTTTATTGAACAATAAAAAATGATTAAAAATATGAATTTATAAAATACAATAATTTTAAATTATTATAATTGAAAGAAGTTATATTTAATGAATAAAAATATATTTAAATTAGAAATCACAAAACTGTGAAAATTTGAACTAAATAATATTACATAATTAATTGGATGATATACTCTGCACAATTTATATATATAATAAAAAATAATATTAAAAATTAAAAATATTATAAAAATTATGTTAAAAATTATTTTTACTCAAGAAAGTATTGAAAATAAATAACTCAAAATTGATTATGAAATACTAGAAATATGAAGATAGAAACATAAGAATATAAATATACAGACAAAAATGATTTTTTTTTAAAAAGTTGTTTTGACATGAGTCATAATTAAGTTTCAGATACTTTTGTAATCAAGCTTAAAAAAGTATTACTTCCGGTTCTTAATATAAGACTTTATTTGACTTTTATTTTATCTTTAATATAACACCTTAATCTATTTTGTCTTTTATATTTATGCATTTTTTCAAGATAGTCTTGCTAACAATAGTAATTCTAGCTAACACACTTGATTAGTAAGAATATTTTAGGAAAGACAATACCTATTTATTACAACTAACTAACTTAACTTCTTTTGTTAATCTTCTTAAATTAGTTAACTAACTCTTATAATTAGAATTAGAGGTAATAATTTTTTGTACTCATAGTTTCCAAATTTACAATATGACTTAGTCAAACTTTTAAGCTATTTTTTGCACTCATGTTCACTCAACCAAACAGGCTGAATATCTTTGACCGTGCAAAGATACTTCGCAAATTTTTCACCGGTAAAAATAGGTTCTTCACAATTTAAGGTCTAAAAGTGAAAACTAATCTAAATGATAAATAAAGCCAAAAGGGTGGAAATCTCTAACAAAAATGGAGCTCTCTCTGGATCTGTGTGTATATACACACGCGCACATGAAGAAACTCTTTTAGTTGATTGATCTCTTGTCTTGGTGTCTCTATTTGGAAGCATGGTGACTTTAGTTTTATCCATTGAGATCTGTGGGCAGGCTTCCATTTCTAGGAGACGGTGGCGAAGGCGGAGGAGAGTCAACCACAAACTTGATCCGTGGTCGAATTTAGAGCAACACTTTGCTTTCAATGGCTCTGGTAATGTCGCCACAGAGAAGATTAGAATGCCATGCGTTGTAGGGGATTAAATTTCCGACATAGGAAGAGGAGGAGGAAGAGGATGATTACAAATGACAGATAGAGGTGGGAGATCGAGGAAGAATAGCCAAGGCAAGCATGGCCATGGAGGAGATGGTTATTGCTAACCAATGGTTGGGTGTCGGAAGAGGAGAGAGGAGAAGGCCGAATGGTATTGTTAGTCGTACTTACGACGTGGCACAATGTGAGTTTTTTGATCATACAGATGGACAGGATTTTGGGATTCTGAGGGATGCTGAGAAAAGAGATACTAAGGCAATCCGGATCCGGGTTTATGAAGATAGATGGAGATGGAGATGGCGAGAGATTGAGAGATGGACATGAGAAGTAGAAGGGTGTTTTTGTCTTTTAATAAATATTTTATAATTCATATTTAAAATTCAGTTTTTGACAGCAATCTATCAATATAAAAAAATAGAGTATAAAACAGGAGTTGTTGGTAGTCTGACACGTGGTGTTACCAATATGTAGATAAATGGTCCTCATTTTTAAATTTTTGCAAAAACCATGTTTCCCTATTCATGTGTTTACGTTTCTACCGATTTTCCCCTATTCATATAATTATGTTTCTACACATGTTCTCCCATTCATGTGCTTTTCTTT